GGTATCTATGTAATCAGCACAATTAGTCACTCAGATTTGGAATAATTCATCTGTTCCATCAGTCTGTTTCTCATCTGTCAGAGATTATTACATGAACATCTAATTTCATTTTTACCCACAAGTCAGGACAAGCGGAAGAGTTTGTGGAGGATTTCTAGGGACTGGCAAAAGGCTTAGGCTGTCTTATGCACAGGAAAAACCCTATACTTCTTTTTTGTTCCTTCTTTATTTCTCTTATATTTGTGAGCACCAAAGGAGCAACTTTTTTAACCTCTACTTAGTAAGTTCCCGTTCACAGTCCAGAGAAACTCCTGTGATGCCTCAGCAGGTTTTTTTCTCCAAGAAGTACTTATGACCCAATACTCAAACATACTTCTATTTCTAAGAGAAACTATTAGATAGATCTGTTCCAAGTGTGTTTTCCCACCTTTTCAGAAAAGTAAAGGCAAAGTCAGATATTATACTTTATTGTAAAGGGGTGATTTTTTTTTGGTGAAAAATTTAAAAGAATATGTCTAATGGCCAGTCTCTTCGCGAACGAAGAACCGGGGAAGGTCTTTCCACCTTCCAGCCTGCGCATTGGATTTTTTAGGTGAGACGCAGTGTGCGCGGAACTGAGCCCACCCTTTAATCCTGAGGTTCATCTGCCGGGGCCAAGCGAGCTTGGACGGTGGCAGCGAGGTCCTCAGGACGTAGATGGATTGCCTTACAGGGCTAATGAGCTCCATCTGCCCGGGGAGGGGCCCCGACCAGGAATCGAACCCGGGTCTCTGCAGTGACAGTGCAGTGTCTTTTCCCCTAGACCACCGGGGGCTCCCAAAAAAAAAAAAAAAGAATATGTACTTCCAAATGTAAGGTATAAAGAGCTTGTTCCTGTGCCCAGGAGCAGCAGATTGCACTGTATACAGTGTACTGAATATAGTGATAGCTGCAGAATTTCTTACTTCTTCCAATCCACTTGTCAGAAAGAATTAGAACAGTTTACATTATTTGTAACTATAAACAGCCCAGCAACACTACAAATATGATTGCTCAGAAAATATTTGCTATTTGTCAAAGTAATCTCGGAAGACTGGAAGCTGGCTGATAGCATTCACGCCCAGGGCAGCACTGCAGTAACCACAGTTAACCAGCTGAAGTGGTACTGTGCCCCAAGACAGCTTAAATGTGCTAAAAATGGCTTGTGACAAAATATGGAGAATGACATGCTGAAGACCATGGATGAAATATTATTTCTCCCCTGTGCTAGACTAATGCTGACTTTATATATTGTTCTTTTAACACAATGGCAGATCTGCTTAGTGAAACTAAAGATTCCGATTCCAGAATCTTTCTCCATCTTAATCATGGCTAACAAGAATTCTTTTCTTTAAAACACGTATGTGCTACTTTCTTCACTTAGAAGACCCAAGAAAAACAGCAGATCCCTAGTATCACTAACTGAACAAATTTGACACTGAACACCTGCTGAACTTCCTCAGAAGGATACCTTCAACTAAATGCAAACAATGTTTCTATTACACTGGAACTGGTTTGTCATACATTGTATTCAAATGAGTGTGTTCTTAACCTCAGGATCTGGAATGGACACAGGATGTAAGAGAGTCTCCAGGGCGTATAGAGTAATTCTGCTATTGCTGTCTAAAAGTTCAAGTGAATCAGCATTTCAGCCTAGTAGTTATCCAGCAGATGTCATAATTTAATGTCAACTGAACATGGATTATCTTTCTTCAAAAGTTATTCTTCTCAGACACTTCAGTGGAAGATTAAACTTAACATTACTTCAAAAATAGTGTTGTTTTGACATCTTAAGGTTAGAAAACATGATTTCCTAATGATTCCTCCATCCAGAAATTATTATGGTAAAAACTATAAGAAAAGTCACAAAACCCCTTTCATTTAACATCACCCTAGCCTTGGTAAAACCTTTGGAGGTCAACAAAACCAGTTACTTTGAGACTAAAATATAATTCATGGAAAGTAAACAAGACATGACATGCGACCTTGCATTAAAAATCACTCCAATAACAAGTGGGTTTGATCTATGCTTAATCTGAACTCTTACTGAAACCAGGGCAAAAACAACCCTGACCACAAATTACCTTAAGCATACAGTTCCACAAGTACGGATGAGTAACTTTAATGGGACTCATTTGACTAAGATATGTTGTGCATACCTAAGTCTAACACTTTCTGAGCATGTATAATGTAAGCCTCTGTGCTCATTACAGTAGCATCACCAGACTCTGAGGTTGGCACATCCCAACAACATAACTATCTCACCTTCTATTTGACATATCAAATAATAAGGATGCCAGTGCTGTGCTGCAAACACAGTTCCTCCTGCTTGTAAAATATACTAACAACGAAAAGAACATAGTAAGAGAAATATACATCCCATTTAAAATTATACTGCATTCTTCATATTAACTAAGTAGTAAAATTCTGTGGAAGAAACTGTAGAAAGTTGATACACTTCTATTATTGCAGCAATAGAGGCTAAGAAATAAAACAGACCCAAGTGGCATCACCGACCCTTTCTGTGATAGCCTTTAAAAGGTAGGCCAGGTCATTTTATCAATTTTCTCTCTTTCACCCTCTTATGAATAATGAAGTAACACATAAAATTACAAATGTAAAACTGCCCACAGGCAGTAATTTCCATTCATTCTTTGGCAATTAGCCTTTTCATAAAGGCTGACAGCAGAAAGGTGAAAACATCTATCTAATCTTAAAGAACACCTCAAATACTTACCTTGTGATTCCTATGATAACACAAATGTAGTTCTTTCATATAAGCAATTAGTCCTGTCCGTCTCTCTCTGCAAATCATAACAAGAAGGTGGAACCTATTATTCACATCTTTGAGTACTTCACTATGTATTAGCCCTAAAAGCCCAACCCTTGCAAACACTTATCTACAAATCTTATATTTACATTAAATACAAATTATTCTAATTGTATAGTTAAATTAAATTACCTATTTCATAGGAACTATTCACGAGAACAAAGTCAAACTTGTAAATATAGCTACTAGTTTGTAAATTTTAGTGTTGATCTAACTGTAACAGGCAAGGTATTAAAATTGTTGGGGTTTTTGCTTGGCTGTTGTTTGTATGTGGGTTTTTGTTGTGGTTTTTATTCGTCTGGGGTTTTTTTAATTATTATTTTTCATCATATACTACTGGAACAAGAAATTCTAAAGTATTTTCCCTCATACTTTCATTAAACACAAAGCAATGAAAACTTGAGGTCAAGTCACTACTAATGTGCACTTTAAATATTTACTTCAACATCTGCTTTAAATAAAAAATGGAACAGAAGGATATGTCTATCCTTTAACTACTTCAACAGTTGTCTAATTAAGTATTATATAAAATGATTAAGTTTATAGAATATTAAGAAAGAATACACAATAGCTCTGGAACACAACACGAAAAAAAGTATATTCAATAATGAAAAAGCCATACCAAGAAATACTGTGAAATACTGTTTAAGGTAGTTTCCAAAGAGCAAAGGAGAAACATAAAAACACAGAAGCCTCATAGAACCAAAACTTCACTTTGTTTAATTTGATTCTAAAGAAATAAACAGCTTTACTACTCTCACAAATTGTACCTAGGCTAGCGTATGTGGGGATATTATTTGCCTGCTGCTGGTTACTTTGTATATCTCAAACCTAACGGCACGGGTGAAAAAAAAAGAACAAGAATACAGGAAGCACTAACTGAAAAATCAAGACATTCCTTATCACCTAGAAAACGAACTAACTCTCTAAAGGTCCCAGACAACTGCGGGATTAAGTCGATTGCATAATGCCCTGCACGCTCCAAAGCAAGGCTCTGCCCCACGGATGTGCTCTGCTAAAGCCCCCCGCCCGCCGTGTTTCGGCCCCTCCGCCGCCGCGTTCGCCCTCGCCTGGCGGTCATGAACCCGCAGCTCCGCCTCTGACACCGCTCCACGCTCAGGGGGCTCCGCTCTGACTTCCGCAGTCACCGAGTTTCCTACCTAATCCCTGATCAAGTACTTTAAACTTTCAAATTATAACACCCGAAAGCAATTTTAAGGTCAGCATCACTCCCACCCTCAACAGCAGAAGCTGAGGGAATAAATTAAACTAGGCTGGAGAGAACTAAATGAACTCCTCAGGTGTCTTTATCTGAAAAGGACTTCAGAAGCCCACAGCAGTGACACGAGGACCAGTTGTTTAGACCCGAGAAGAGCTAGGCTTTAACAAGCGTGTCACAAGCCAGCGAGCTCGTTTCCAACAAAGGCGTCCAGGGTAAGACCACGGAGACGGGAGCGATGGAACAGCCCCGGACGCTGCGGTGGCGACAGGCGAGGGCAGAGGCGGGAGGGCGGACGGGGCCAGCACCTCCCCGCGCCTTTCAGACCCTCCGGCCGAGCAAACGCGGGGGGCGCCGCGACCCTTCCCGCCCGCCCCGGGGCCGCCCCACGCCTGCGCCCGGTGGCGCGGCAGGGCCGCGGGTCCGAGCGGGGCACGGCTCCCCCACGCCCCGGGCAGCGGCTCATCGCCACACCGCCCACCCCCGCTCCGCCGCCACGGGAAGCGAGCCCATACCTGCACCTGGCGGTCCGCCCGGCGGCCCTGCGCTGTCCCGGCTGCCGGGCCGGCGTGGTGCGGGGGGCCGGCTGTGCTGAGTAACGGTGCGGCGGGGGCGGCCCGCAGTGCCCCGGCCCGCGCCCGCAGCTCCGCGGCAGAGAACGCGCGGCCCTGGCAGCGCTGAGCCCGCCCCGCGCGGCCTCGACAGCGGCGCCGGCCTGGCCTCGCCCGCGGACTGCACCGGCGCGGCGGCTGCCGGGGCGGCCGGGGGCGGCCGGGGCGGGGCTCCGGCGGCCGCAGCGCCAATGGGGCGCAGCCGCAGCGCTGCCCCGGCCGCGGAGGCTCCTCCCTAGCGCGGGGGGCGGTGGAGAGGCCGCGGGGCGCCGCGGGGCGCCGCGGGCGGGGTCTGAGCGGGCGCCAGGGGCGCGGGGCGGATCCGGGGCGCGGGGCGGATCCGGGGCGGGCGGGCGGTCGGGAATGAGTTCGGAGCGGGGGAACGTGTCCCGCACGCGGCCCCAGCGCCACCAGAACGCGCGCGCCTTCAGGAACGACAAGTACGACACGAGCGCCCGGCTCAAGGTAGGCGGGGGCGGCCCGGGCGTGTGAGGGGGCCCGGCGGGAGAAGGGAGCTCTTCGGAGGCAACCGAGCGGCCGGGGGCGGAGCGGTGGAATGGGTTTGGTGCCGAAACTATGAACAGGACCCTCTGCGGCCTGTGAAGCCAAGGCCTACCCCTGTGAGGTCCGTGCTGGGTCCTTGAAAGCTTCGGAATTGCCGAAGCCACGCGTCAGTGCAATCCGAGACACCTCTTCGTTACAGTGTTGGAGATACCTTTCGCCCTGCTCTGCCCAAACCAGACACAGTGGTGTTAAGGGAGTCATCGTAACAAGGCACTTGAGTCAGCTGTCACCGTAAGCAGATGTGTGGTGTGAAACTTGAATCACATTTGTGACATGAAAGGACCTCGTTAAGCCAAAGAATTATTAAGAGGAAGACTGAAATAAAGTACTTACGTTTGTGCCGTTCCGTGTGACTTCCTGAAAGGTACTTGGACTTCTCAGACTTTGTAACTGTGTGGTCATACTTCAGACATCGTGACGTTTTCAGAGTTTAGTTTGAACAACTCCCCCCATCATCAATATAAATAACAAGCTTCACTTAGTATACTTTTGAGACTTTAAACTGAGTCACGTTTGCTTTAATTTCTTTAAAAAACAAAACAAAACAAAAAACTTGAGCAGCTTTTCTGATTAGTTATTACAGAAGAAGTTAATCTGTTAGTGCTTTTCCCACACGTTACCATGGTTTGATATCTTCACACTGTTGTTACAGAAGACTATTTTGTGTATTTTGTTTCTAAGTAAGGAAAAGGCAATGATTTACAATATTGTCTTGCAACACACTCATGCTTAAAGTTGTGGTAACATACTAGCACTGCGGGAGTGTATGAAGACAAGTACTGTGACTGAGCAGTACCACCACCAAAGGGGGGTGTGTCCTCTTGCAAGGTAAACTGGAAAGGTAAATGAGACAAAACATTCTAGGAGGGACTTAGTTGGTGCTGTTGCTGTCATGTCAATATCCCTTTAATTGAACTTTACTGGGTTGTCAAAAAGGGGAAGAAAGTAGTAGGTTAAAGCCATGAAACCAAAAAGGGTTTTAGTGTGTGTTTGTTTTGGTTGGTTGTTTAGATGTTTTAGGACTGGTTCTGCAGGTTGAACGGGCTGCTTTCCTGGGACTCTAAGCAGTGACAGTATTTATTGAGTGATTCACTGCATGAACTCTGATAGGAGAGTATTTTCCTGTCCGGCTACACACACACACAGAAGTATCATCAAGAGTTGGTCTATCAGAAAAATCTTCAAAGAGAAACTGAATTCTGACTATATTCTGATATATTCAATTACAAATTCTGAATTTGTAATTGAAAATATCACTTTAGTACCCACATGGCTGTTTTTCTTCCCTTTTAAAATATTTTATATCCTATAGAACAAAATACCATACACTCAAATAAATGTAATTTTTTTAATATAACCAAGGTTTGCTGTGGGCATCGATTTGCCTCTTTTTCATTCTGTTTCAAGCAAATTATTTCTTTCTGTGGCTACCAGTTCATGGAGAGACTGGAAAGAAGCATCATAAAGAAGGTGCTTCCTATCCTGGGGGTAGATAGTGTGTGTGGTAAAGGGAAGAGATGTGTTTTTCTTTTGGTATACTGTCATATAGAAATTCAAGTCCCAAGGAATCTTGTGGTTTAGGAATGTTATTCCCCAATTTAGTGTTCCCACTGAAACGCTCCAAACTATTTTCCACTCACTCGCTCACTTACTCCCCCCTTCCCCTACCCCTCCTTCTTTGTCCGGATGGAGAGGCGAATTGGAAGCACAAAAGGTGAAGATCATAGGTTGAGATAAGAATAATTGACTGGAAACAGCAAATGAAATAAGAAAACAACCAGTAACAGCAACAATATTTATAGCAGTATACAAGAGATGAGTGATTCACACTTGAGTGCTCACCATGACCATACCTGGCTGTGCAGTGCTACTCCACTGAAGGGACCCCTTCCCTGTGTTACAGAATAACCTCTAGGTCCTGGCCATGCCCCTGCTGGCCACTGCCAAAATTAACCCTGTCCTGGCTGGGAATAGGACGGGATACACAAGGGTCATTATAACAATGAATAGCTCTGTTTCTGATGTTTGTGAAATTTGTAAAGAAGTTAAACCGGCAAAGATTAAGTGATGATTAATGGAATAGTTTAGATACAGTACAAACCATGCTGAATGGTGACAGTTTTGCATCTCTGTCTCGTGTATTCCTGAGCGATCAGATGTGCCATGGATGTTCAAGGTGTGAGGAGGGAAAAGAAGAAATAGTAGAAATTCTCTTATCACAGAGATTGATACAGGAGAGGGGCTTTCTTCCTTTCTACCTCTCATTAGCTTAGTAGGTCAGGGGAATGCTCAGAGCTGCTGAAGTTTAGTGGATCTCCTGTAAATCTCTGTTAAACGCTTTTTTTGTTTGGGTGTTTGGCCTGTCTACTGTTACACACTGTCCAATACAATACTATCTGTAAAGGCTGCAAAATGCTTATTAACTTAAAATTTGGATCCTGCTATAGATGTTCTCTACATTACTGATATTGAATATTTACTACAGTAGCTTCAGGTTGCACAGTGTGTGGAGTTGAAGTGGTTATTTACAGTGTAATTGCTGTTTCTCCCGGCTGTCAAGCAGTATCTGCAGAGGAAATGGATCTAATAGTATTTTGACTTTTCTCTGCTGACAGTCATTATCTGGTTGTTTTGTGGTTTTTTGAAAGGTTTTGTGCTCTTTGTCTGCCACTGACCTTGGCCATTTCTAATCTTAAAGACCATAGATCTGATTACTTGCAAAAGATCAATTTTTCCTCTAATTATTAGTCTTTACTACAACATTACTCTCCCATAGGCTTGTTGAGGTGAAACACCCTTGCAACAAAGGACACTGCCTCTCTACTGTATTTGCTACAAGGGTGCTGGGAAAGCTTACATTTTAGAATGAGCTGAAGGATGAATAGCCAGAACAGGGTAAGACACCTCGTTCTTAGTTATTGACTCTTAAAATTTGTTTATGGGTGTTTGCTTTAAACAAAGCAATTATAAACAAAGTGTATTCCAGAACAGCTCTTTGCAGTACTGAGGTGAGGAATAAACATTATGTTGTATGAATAAGGTGACTGAAGGCCCACACTAAGACCTTAAATCATCTTGTCCGTGAGCTGCTTTACGCTGATGATACCGCCCTCATCGCCCACACAGAAGTAGCTCTGCAGTGTTTAACATCCTGCTTTGCAGAGGCTGCTGAGCTTTTTGGACTGGAAATCAGCTTGAAGAAAACAGAAGTTTTATATCAGCCTGCACCTCAGGAAGTCTCCCATCATCCCTATATCACCATTGGTGAAACAGAGCTCAAATCAGTCCAGCAGTTTAATTATCATCTCCTCAGATGGTAAGATTGATGCAGAAATTGACAACGGGTTAGCAAAGGCATACAGAGCTTTTGGTAAACTCCATAAAAGAGTGTGGCAAAACAAACATCTGAAGAAAAGTACTAAGATCAGTGTTTACAGAGCCATTGTACTGTCTAGTCTTTTATATGGATCTGAATCATGGGTTATTTACCGCCACCACTTGCGTCTCTTAGAACGCTTCCATCAGCGCTGCCTCCGTACAATCCTAAACATCCACTGGACTGACTATGCGACCAACATTTCTGTCCTTGAACAGGCAGCAGTCACGAGCATTGAGGCCATGCTGCTGAGAACTCAGCTGCGCTGGGCAGGGCACGTCTCCAGGATGCAGGACAATCGCCTCCCTAAGATCATGCTTTATGGGGAACTTGCCACTGGCTGCCGCAAGAGAGGAGCCCCAAAGAGGAGATACAAGGACTGCCTGAAACAATCCCTCAGCCTTGGCCATATTGATCACCACCATTGGCCTATCCTGGCCTCCAGTCGGGAGGCCTGGAGACACACCATCTATAACGCTGCTGCTGCTTTTGAGAACACACGCAGGATCACTCTCGAGGAGAAAAGACAACGCAGAAAGAATCGCGTCTTGTTGATATCACCTGGGGAGTCTTTCTGCTGTGCCTTCTGCAACTGGACTTGTTTATCTCGCATTGGCCTTTTTAGCCATCAGTGCGCTTGTAGCAAGCGTGGGTAGAGCCCCTCTCAAATCTTCATTCACGAAGCCTAGCCATGGTGTATGAATATGCGTTTTATGTAAAGCATATTACATAATTCATTATGAAAACTGCAGTAGTTCAGAAATTAAAACAGGCATTATTCTATGAGAACATTTAAAATTCCATTGTAGTAAGATGGTAAACTTACCATCTTACTACAAAGTAAGTGATTCATATTTACACTTCAATGACTGATTTTTTTTCTCCATTTCTTTCCTCTCATTAAGTACAACTGGGATGATAATCCACATTTGCCTAAATTTCAGCAATTTTTAACTCTGAACCTCCGCTTTACCATGGTGTTGATGTCCGCTACATTTTCAGCTTGATGTATGGATAAATAACTTTTTTCATTGGAGACACTGCTTGAGGCTGTGGGAAGGCAGTAGGAATGGAGCAGGCAGGTGAATATAGAGATTAAATGCTGAGTCAGTGATCCTGACTTGAAGCACAGAAGGGAGATAGAGATAAACCAGTGCCCAACTGGAATTGTCAGATAACAGTATTGCAGTTTTTTTAGCTTATGCTCTTGCTGCAACATACATGATAGGCTAAAGTTTATTCCCTAGCTCCCCCTGTTATTCTGTGTTCAGAAGTATCTTAAGGCTTGGGTTGTAGCCTTTCATGTAGGGAGAATATGAGTAAATATAACATCTGTTCTGGACTCTAACTCAACTGGGGTGGTAGTGGGGAGTGAGAGAGAGAATGAGTGGTTGCTGGAGATGGTATAGGGGGGGTGTGTTTGTATCTTTGTGTATTTTCCATTCTTTCTGGGCTAGGTGTTGAGAGTTGACCGACAGTCCTTCCAATGCTCCCTTAAATGCTATATAGACATCCAAGCGTTGAT